TAGATAGATATAGACAGACAGACAGACAGACAGACAGATAGATAGATAGATAGATAGATAGATAGATAGATATGGAAATTAAATAAATAAAATATAGAATATAATAATAATCAATTAAATACAACAACAATCAAGAATAATCATGAGTATAGTGTGTTCTGCAACAGTGTTCAGATTTGTGCCAGTTTTTCCCCCTCTGCTTTCTCTGCAGTGCTGCTCTGCCCTGGTTTAATAAGCTCTTGCACTGCAGACACCTGCATAAGAAGTTCTGCTGACCTCTACTTTATTAAACATGCCTTCCGGGCAAAGAAAACCTGGCCTGTGCTTTAACAACAGACAGATAAAGCAGGGTTGACAGATCAAACTGAAAAGCTAAACTAAACGTGGTGTGTTCATTGAATTTTAATATTCAGCAGTCATAAAAAACTGAGCCCTGTAAACTTCAAAAGTAATCATTACATGACAGCCATCAACGTCTTCATCTCAGGCCCCTCTGTAAAATACAAATACAAAAAACTGCCATAATTTTAAACTCATTTTTAATCTTGAGATTATAAATTTATAACCAAGTAACAGCTTTGAAAGAGGAATTCCATTTTCCTTTATCGTTCAATTCTGAGTCTTTTATAACTGGCCTTTCTGAGCACTTCAAAAGGATCTCAAAGCAATTCCTTAAGTAGCTCACCTACTGAAAATCTTAAAGGAATAGTTCACCATAAAATTCAAATTTGAATATTATTTTCTTACCTATATGTCAAAGTATATGACTTTCATTCTTCATTATTCATTCGCTATACTGTACATTTGGAACTGGTAAGATTTTTTGAAAGAAGTCTCTTAGGCTGGCTGCACACTAGACGATTTTAAGCCCGATTTGCATCCCCGAATGATCGGGGGGTGTGGCCCGATTCGCAGCTTGTCGCAAAAGATTTTTTGTCCAAAAAATCCTCTATTGTGTGGTGTCATTACGATTATTTATCTGCTCCCGATCGAGACAGAGCGTCCCCGAAATCAAATAGTAAGTATCAAACATGTTCGGGCCGCCTCTGACGTGATACCCGCGATAGCAAGCGTCACCTACCGGATGTCGCGTGCTTCTGTAGATGAAACTTGGCAGCCACAAACATGCCATGAAAGCAGAGAACATTACCCATATTCTTTTCTATACTTTGTTTTTCACTGTGAAACAGAACGCGCGCCAGGAGAGCCAGCTGACAACGTTGATTGTCCTCTATTTGTTTTTCTTCTCTAGTCATGTTTGATCTCATGAGTGTCCATGAGATCGCGTGTCAGGGTCACTGTGAAATCGTTCCTACAATAGACAAGTGTGTGGTCTCGCGGTCTGGTCAAATCGTCTAGTGTGTGCCTTCAGAGGGTTATAAGGCTAAAAATCGGTTGAACTGTCTTCATGTCTGTGGTCTCCCATGATTTTAAAATCGTTTAAGATTTGAAAATCGTCTAGTATGTCCAAGGCCTTATGCTCACCCAGGCTGCATTTATTTGATAAAAAATGCAGTAAAAACATAAATGTTGTGAAATATTCTCACTGTTTTAAAATTGATTTTTTAAATGAAAATTTGCTGAAACCCTCAGGTCACGACTCCAGTCCATCAATCCTTCAAGTCTCTAGTCCTTCACGTCTTGTGAAGTGAAAAGTTGCGTGTTTGAAAGAAACAAATCCATATTAAGGCGTTTTAATTTTAAACGGTCACTTCTGGCCAAAATAGGACTCCGTAATTGTTTTGGTTTTGTAAACATGCTTGTTCTGTGCAGATTTCTCTCCTGATTCAGATAAAACGACTTTTCACTGGAAAAAAGCGATATTATGGACTCATCTGAAGTTAAAACACAGCTTTTTGCTTCCCAAGACATTAACTGATGGACTGGAGTGGCGTGGATTATTGTGATGTTTTTATCAGCTGTTTGGACTCTCATTCTGACGGCACCCATTCACTGCAGAGGATCCATCCCAGTGGCAAATTGATGTTGAAAAGACTTCAGTTTGACATAAAAAAAAAACAGATCAAATATTCAAATCAAATTGACGTCAAAAACTTGACATGACATTGATTTGATGCAAATTAAACGTCAAACATATTGGCCTACATATACATTAAACCAATTTCAGTGTGGGATTAACTTTTTTCTCAATAGAAGAAAAAAAGCTGCTTTTATGCATCAGTATGCCATATATGAAAACATTAAAGTGGAAACACTAGCACTGAAGTTGCCATTAGTTTTGAGCGATTTCAGGTAGCAAAATGAGCTCAGAATGCTGACATGGTTGAGCGGATGCATTTTATTCCACACTTTATATTGTACATCAGTTCATAATAGTTTCCATAAAGATACTGACTGAGTGTAAGCTTTCTGTTTGCACTTTACACCATGAAAATGACATACCAACAAATGACAAAAGTGCATTTAAAGCATCTTTCTACTCTGCAGCTTCACTTGCTCACAGCTCTCTTGTTTGTCCTTGTTAGGCAGTGTGTTTATGGGGTTACTGTGACAGTCGGTAGACAGCGGCGCACCTGTACCGACAGCACTAACTGCTGACAGAAACATCCAGAATGCAGGAGGAAGGTGAGAGCGCCTCTGCTGCCTGTCTGATTCCATTAGCATCAGCGGACTCTTACTGATATGTGTGACGGCTCATAACCTCATGTTCAGTGGGCTTACTAGACCGTAACAGTCCAAATCCCAGCCACCTTCTCCATAGACAAATCGCTTTAGAGCAATAATGTGTAAACGTTTCAAGACCATGTAAACATCTTATTTATAGCTGAATTCTCAGTGAAGAACTACACTGTAATGCTAAAATTACTTAAGTTTTTTATTATTTTTTTAAGTATTATACTTTTTTTGATAATACTTTTTAACATATTATTATTCTTATACTAATTCGGTAACACTTTAGAATAGGGAATACTTATTCACTATTAACTATGACTTTACCCTCAATAAATTCCTAATTTGCTGCTTATTAATAGTTAGTAAGGTAGTTGTTAAATTTAGGTATTGGGGAGGATTAGGGATGTAGAATAAGGCATTAATATGTGCTTAATTAGTACTAATAAATGGCTAATATTCTAGTAATATGCATGCTAAATAAGCAAATAGTTAAGAGACCCTAAAATAAAGTGTTACCGCTAATGGATAAGATTATAGTATTATTTGAATACATTTTAAATACAAACAAGTGAAAAATTCCAGACATTCCAGACAATTTTTATGCAGTGTTCCCCCTCAAGT